GAAATGTGTCTTCTAGTTTGACTTCTGGTACTGTTTGTTGGCTCTGTTTTTGAAGAAACCCATTTATGCAAATGTTTTGGATCCTTTACTATTCAGTTTTATTATTTTTTTCCTTATTACGTAAGTAATGCATGTTTACTAAGAATTTGGAAAATAAATTTCCATTGGTCATATATCAGGGATCTCTTATTTATAGGATTAAAAATACTAGAATCAGATAATATTTAGAGATCAGGTTGTCTAGGCCCTCTTTATTTAAGTGAGCAAAGCTGGGCTCAGATAGTAGTAGAAACTCCACCTGAGAGAAATTAAGCAGGGGCCAAGTTTCCTAATAGTATGGTAAGTATATTTTCAGGCTAGTTTTAAGCAAAGTTGGAAGGTTCAACATTTGATGGGAATTTTAAACTTAAAGAAAAGCTGCTGCAACTTATTTCTTGTGATTTTACTGTAATATTAGCTTTCTTTTTTTATTTTTGGTTGCAGTTGGTATTTGTTAATGTCATTTATATAGTAGCTTTTCTAAAAAGGAAAAATGCAGAAACATCTCAAAATATTATACAAACTGATATAACTCTATGAAAGCTACATTAAAGAATTAGGGGAGGAACTCCCATTTGACCCAATAATCCCACTTCTAGGAATATATCTCAAGAAACTAAAAACACCAATCAGAAAGGATATATGCACCCCTATGTTCATAGCAGCACAGTTCACCATACCTAAGATTTGGAAACAGCCTAAGTGCCCATCAGCAGATGAGTGGATTAAAAAACAGTGGTACATCTACACAATGGAATACTACTCTGCAGTAAAAAAGGAGTTCTTACAATTTGCAACAGCATAGATGGAACTGGAGAGCATTATGCTAAGTGAAATAAGCCAGTCAGGGAAAGATAAATATCACATGATCTCATTCACTATGGATTGTAATGAACAACATAAACTGATTAACAAAAACAGATCCAGAGAAAGAGAATCATAGATCAGCCGGGCAAACCTCAGAGGGAAGGTAGGGGAGGGTTGGAGTAAGGGAGAGAGATCAACCAAAGGATGTGTATGCATGCATATAAGCCTACTCAATGGACACAGATACCAGGGGGTTGAGGAGATGAGGGGTGGGGAATTATGGGGGGATAAGGACACATATGTAATGCCTTAATAAAGATATTTAAAAAATAAAAGTTCCCTCCAAAAAAAAAAAAGGCGAGGTGGGAAGTGGGTACTGGAAGGAAGGCCCAAAGCTATGGCATTTCAGAGACATGAGGGAAAGCTGAATAGTGGCCATGGACTTGGAGTCCATTTAAAATATTACTACCCAAGAAAAGATCCAGCTTGACTTCCTCATCGTTCCCCTCCTAAACCTTAGTACCAGGCAGGGAGTTCCCGGACTTGTGTTTTAAGCTGTTTTTATAGCCTTGGACTGACAGATTTTTGACTCTATGACATGAGTTCAGTGCAGCTATCTCCTGACATTCTGTTTGGCAAGATGGGGAAACAGAAAATAGCCCAGTTGTTGAGTCAGAATGGATTTGCCTTCAAAATCCCATTGTGTATAAGGTTCTGAACTGCTTAGAATTTAAATTTCCTTCTCTCCAAAATAGGTACATTATCTCCCACTCACATGACTGGCATGAGGAGTCAAGTAATTACACACTGAAAGTGTGTGTATGCAGAAAGCAAAGGGCCCCGTAAATGTCAGTTTCCTTTTTGTTTGATAAAAGGGAGCAGAACTGCCCTGGAAGAGGTTACTGGCCCCTGTAAGAGGAGCAAATTGCATGACTTCCATTTCCTTTTCTTCCATTCCTAAGTTGTAATAGTTATTACCTATTAAAATTTATATGTGAGTCACCAGTGATAGGAACATGAATAGGGGGACTGTCCTGGCCTCAAGGAGTGCGTCTTCTTGCTGAGACACTTGACACATTGCTAGCGTACAGTGTGGAGAGTGCTCTAAGAGATGGTGGTTTAGGAACCCAAAGGAAGGAACTATCCTGGTCTTCAGGTTTGAAGGAGAGAAGACAAAGCAAGAATTGGGCAAAGCTTCAGAGAAGCAGGGACATTTCACTAGAACACCAAGGGGTGAGTGGAAGATAACAGATACATGGGGACGGATGGGCTCTTCTAGTCAGAACAGTGTGAACAAAGACAGTTGGCTGATTAGGAACATGTTTGAGTGAGCCTTGCAGTGGGCCGACACAGCAAGCTTGCAAGTTTTTCTTCTTTGGTGGCAATCCTTCAACTTATAAGTCCCAGGACTTAAAATTCCATCCCTAGACCCATTTACTCTCCCCGCTTTCCTTTCCTCTTTGGCCCTTTTCTTCTACTCTACTCCTTGCACTTTGCCCCCCTTGACAGGATGTGGATAGAGTTTTCCAAGTTTTGCATTTTCTTCTTGTCCAGGAAGACAAATGCATAAGCCCTTTCGTCAAAAGGATTTTACTACTAATCTCTCTGAGGAAACAGGGTGACCAAAATAGTCAGCCTGAGTATGTCATAAGAGTCCCAGACTTCCAAGTCTTTGAAGTCATGGTCCCTGAACATTTCTCTCAGAAACTGAAAGCACATTTACTTCCAGTCCTCAGTGTGATTTTCGCCTGTGAGGCTTACCATATTCCCTGTTTCTCCTAACCCTGCACTTAAAGGCCATCTGACTCCTACCTCTGTGATACTCCTTTTTTCCAGTCCATTGTTATGAGGAACACAAAAGACTAACCAGTAATTGATAAGTGCCATTGTCATGAGACAATTTCTAGCTTTGAGGATCTCTCATCATACAGGTTCCTTTTCCCTTTTAAATTTTCACTCTCTTAAATTATCTTCAAAATGAGTAAATAATGATGTAAAAGCTATTTCGTGCTAATTTTTATTAAAGGATACAGATTGTATATACAGAATAATGACTAGTAAGCACACATAAATATGCACAGCAACAAAAATATGGTGTCAGATTTGTTTTAGCAGTTGCACATTGGGAAGTGCTTTGTTTTCTAAATTTCCCAGTGAGAAAAAATGAGAATATATAGCTTTTAAAATAGGAAGATAAGATACTATGTATGTATTTATTCAATTAAAGTAGTCCTGGGGGTTTTCTGTTTTAGGTTAAAACTGTGATTGGAAAGCGTAGGTTGCTGTGATGTTGGATTTTGCTCAGGATGTTTACAGGAAGTTTTTCTGAGGTTATGCTTTTAGCATTTACTTACAGGGACTATAAGAGCTTTAAAAGTTTAGTCAGAAATGACCTGATGAGGTCTTTGTTTTAGAAAAATTAATTGCTACAATACTTTTCCCTTATCTGTCTAATTTCTGTTCTTGCTACCATACTTTTTCGTTATCTAACTTTTTTAAAGGATGGATTCGTAGATGTTGGGAAAGAGATAATTCAAGGCCAGGGTTACCAAAACCAATTACAAATTGAAAGAAATATAATCCATAATGTTGAAACTAAAAGCATGAGCCACAGAATGAGACAGGCCTGAATTTGAATCCCAGCACCATGATGATTAGCTGTGTAGCCATGAACATGTTGCTTAACTTTTCTGAGCTTTGGTTTCTTGATTTGTGAGGTTGGAATAATCATAATACCTACCTCAAGGAACTGTTATGATGATTAAATGAAATAACATATGAAAATACTTAACATAGAGCCTGGCACAGTGTGAGAAATCAATGTATTATTTATTGCTATAACATATATAACTCAGCTTTTTAAATCCACTTCTATTCTTTCCACACAAATCAATTGTTAAAATATTTACATCTCATCAATGGAGTATTCCACCTCCATGTGAAAACTTTTTATTTATTTATTGGAGGCAATCAGGCAGGCAGACAGGCAGGTGAGTGGTTAGGATCCAGCAGTCCTGGATTGCGAGAGGGATGTCCGACTGCCGGTTTAGGCCTGATCCCTGTAAACTGGCAGTAGGACATCCTTCGAGGGGTCCCAAATTGGAGAGGGTGCAGGCCAGGCTGAGGAAAATACCCTCCCCAGTGCGTGAATCTTCGTGCACCAGGCCACTAATTGGTTAATAAAATTATATAGGTTTCAAGTGTACAATTCTATGATACATCATCTTTATGTTGCATTGTGTGCCTACCACCAAAAGTTAAGTCTTCCTTCATTATATATTTGACCCCCTCTACCCTTAAAATGGGGAAATAGCATGGGAGTGGATTTCATTTTTAACTGTCTGTCTTCTACAAAAGGACAGCAACTCTCAGCATTAGTAAGTGGTAAGGAAATGAGAGCATTTGTAGGAAGAACACATATTGTTGAGACTTAGTAATAATAAACCCTGGTTATAATTTTAGGTTTCCAAAGTTTTAAAGAAGTAGAAAGGGGGATAAAAGAAAAGTGAATGTTTGAGTATTACCTCTTCCTGCAACTGAAAACCATGCATCTGAAGAACTGATTCAAAGAAATCATTGTTTTTACACTTATTTGATCACCTTTAAGGATATTCTTCAAATCTAAAATAGTTAATATTCTGCTGTAATGTTGACACTTCAGTATAAAATTACAGAAGAGAAAAAACAATATGTAGAAGGATAAAATTATATATTTTTTTAATGAGAAGAGTTTAGAAATAGTGTATTTAGAAGTAAATTAAGAAAAAAACCTGTCATAGAAGTTGTGTTGTGTAGGTTTGCTAGTTTCGTTTTCATTAATAGTAGGCAAAATAGTATAACTTTGAGGAAATAGGTTTTAGTAAAAAAAAAAAAGAATTCTGGTTTGTTTACCTCCATACAAAAACTTCTTCCCCCTCCCACTCCTTCTCTTCTTCCTCCTCCTCTGAAATGAGCTCGTCAGAGAAAGACAAGTGCCATATGATTTCACTCATATGTGGAATCTAATGAACAGAATAAACTAACAAGCAAAAGAAAGAGAGAGATTCGTAGATAGAGAGCAGGCTGACAACTGTCTGGGGCTGCATGGGTGGTCATGGGGAGATTAAGAAAAAAAGAGAAAAAATCTCTTTTTAATGTTTTCTGTGTAATTACAGGGTGTAGGAAAAAACAAGATTGTTGACAGATTCCTTCATCTGCTCAATAGACCCCGAGAATATATCCAGCTGCACAGGTAAGAGGAAAAGCCCCATACCTCTTAAGATCTGATTTAATCATTTAATTTTCCTCAGTACAACTTAAAAATACTTTTTAAAAGTCCAACTGTACTAGTATAAACCAGTTTCATTTCTGTTCCTCCTGCTGTTATCTCTCCTTTCCTTAAAAGGTAATAAAACCAGGCAAAATTTATTTTTAAAGTGACTAATACTTTGTAAACATGAATTAATAGATATTTTGTGGACAGAGAGTAATGAACTTTATATTCTAGGAGCAGATTTCATCAACATAAAGGCTCTTAAATTAGAAGAAAAATAGGTAGAGGCAAATCCCACTCTAATAGGAAGCTAAAATAGCCCCCAAGGGAAACAATAAACTATGAATCCCAGGTATGAGATAAGGAACCAAAAAATATGGAAGAAATAAGTTAGTTTCTTTGCCTTCCTTGAAAACACTTTTTACCTAAATTTGTGTGGTCATAATGCTGTTTCAGGGATAGTTTTTAATCAAATAGATTTTCTAGATGTGAATTGTTTTTAGATTTATCAGTTAACCTATTCCAAATCTTTTAAAAATTAAATATAAGCACGTCAATAGAGGGGACTGAGGAGGGAGGGACAGAGAGAAATTAAGGAATATACCAAGTAATAAGCAACTTAAAACTAGATTAAATTGTTATTGTTTTGAACCCAGGAGATAAAAAAAAACATCGTGTAGTGGAAAAAACATTGGATTGAATTATAAGAATTGTTTTCTTGTTTGGGTCCTTTCACTAAATAATTATGTGTTCTTAAAAAATAATTGTAGAAGAAAAGAAGGCAGAGTTAGTGGGCCAAAAGAGAAGAGAACCAAAGTAAAATAGAAGAATGGTCAAAACCTCCTACTTGGGATTTGAAGGAGTAACTGGCGCTAGATTAGTCATACCACAGTAAGGTTCACAAGCACTGGGAAAAGAACAACCACCAGAGATGGCTGTGCACTGAACAACCACTGGAACTCCCGCATGGTCAGGGACTTAATTAAATACTCCTGGTATTCACATTAAAAGCTACTCTACAGCCACCCTTGCAGAGTTTAAAAATAAGCCTTAAATAAATAAGGATGCTTTCTATTTAACATTATTTAGAAGTTTTTCTCATATAAAATGACTTTTGTATGAATTTTTCTCATACAAAATTAACTGCTTAGCTGAACAGATTTAACCTTGAGTGGAGGAAGACTATAAAATCCAGATATTCAACAACATAGTAGTCATAATGTTAATCATTCAGTGGAAAATTGCTAGATACACAAAGAAGCAAGAAAATTGTTTAATAGAAATAGACTCTAAAGTGGTAGATAATGAAATTAACAGACAAGGACTATAATATAATGCCATGAATATGTTGTAAATTTCTTCAACCTGATAAGAGACATCTATGAAAAACCTATGACTAACTTATAGTTAACGGTGAAAAACTAAATGCTTTTCTCCTATGATTCTGGAAAAGGCAAGGATAGTCAGCATTATGCTGGAGATCCTAGCCAGTGCAATAAGGCAAGAAAAAGTAATAAATGGCATACATGCTCAAGTAGAAGAAGTAAAACTGGCTCTTTTTAGAGATGACATGATTGTGTGTATAGAAAATACTAAGAAATCTACACACACACACAAAATCAACTAATAGGTGAATTGAATAGGGTCACAGAATACAAGGTGAATGTAAAAAAAATCAAATGAACAATAGGGAAATAAAATTGTAAAAGTACTATTTACAATAGCATTAAAACATGAAATACTTAGGAATAAATTTATCAGCATATGTGCAAATTTTAATTTGCTAATTTTAATAGGTGAAAATTATCTCAACTTTTAAACTTCTGTAAGTCACCTGTATAGTTCCAGAAAATTTTTAGCCTATTTCCATATCTTCTCATGGTTCTTTTTTGTATTAGTGATGCCTTATATAAACCTAGGAGTTTTGACTCACTTTTATAAGAAAAAAAAGAATATACTATATCAAAATGGCTAGATGTTATAGGAGATATAGAATGGATTAAGAAATAAAACCTCTATATTTAAGGAGCTGTAATACTGTTCTTTGTAATTATTTCAATTTTTCATGTTCACTGAATATGAAAAACTTATTTTTTCCCTTACCTTTTAAGCATTTCCACCATTTTTTTTTTTTTAAGTTTCGGAAAAATAATGAAAGAATCAAAGTATTGAACTAGTTTGCTAGTTCTCACCTTAATAACTTTTTATAACATATTACTGTTTTAGTTTTTGAGCCATGGCAAGACCCATATTTTACAGTTTAAGGATGATTCAGTGAACATTGCAATTGTTCATTCTTAGGAGAATTTGTGCTGCTTTATTTTGTTAACATTGTGTTTCATTTTCACTGTTTAACAGTGCCCTTAAAATATGTAACTGTCTGAAAGTTTTAATGAATGTATATACTGCTGCCACTTAAGCATATGATGTCAATTTAGAGCAAAACCAAATAATTTAAATTTTATATTTTAAAATAGTTAAGCAGAAGGCCAACTTTTTCTTTCTTTCTTTCTTTTTTAAAATATATTTTATTGATTTTTTACAGAGAGGAAGGGAGAGGGATAGAGAGTTAGAAACATCAATCAGCTGCCTCCTGCACATCTCCTACGGGGGATGTGCCTGCAACCCAGGTATATGCCCTTGACCGGAATCGAACCTGGGACCCTTCAGTCTGCAGGCCGACGCTCTATCCACTGAGCCAAACCGGTTTTGGCGGCCAACTTTTTCTTAAGAATGACTTCAGAACTTGAAATCAGTTCTCAAGTTTATTCCCCAGAAAGAAGTCACTTTTTATGAGAATCTCTTTTTATAATGGGATAGTTTTTCCATTTCTTTATATTGGACAAAATATTTTTAAAGAAAGGTATATTAGGCTCAGCTACCTCAGTCAGTTCTGATTATAGATTATGGAGGTTACTTAATCAGCAGAAAAGGAGGCAAAGAAATATAACTGATATTTAATAATTATTCTTGGGTGTATGTCACACTCATTGTAAACAGGTCTTTTGCTTATGATTTAATTTCTTTAATAGTTGTAAGAAGTTTTGATGCATCTTATTTTTGTAGGAATTATTCCTTCTAATTATTGGTATAAAGTTGTTTATAATATTATCTTGTGATTTAAAAAAATGTTTTTATTGATTTCAGAGAGGAAGGGGGAGGCGATAGAATCATCTATGAGAGAGAATCATTGGTTGGCAGCCTCCTGCACGCCCCCCCCCTTACTGGGGATAGAGCCCACAACCTGAGCATATGCCCTGACCGGGAATCGAACCATGACCTCCTGGTTCATAGGTCGATACTCAACCACTGAGCCACACTGGTCAGGCATCTTGTGATATTTTAATATCCCTGGCTCATTCAATGATATCTTTATTTTTATTCTTGGTATTGGTTATTTGCCTTCTCTCTTTCCTTCATGATCAATTTTGCCAATCCTATTGGTGTGTTCAAGCAACCAATTTTTGTCATAGTTGAAACTCTCTTTTGTATTTTTCTTTTCTCTTTCAATATTTCTGATTTTATCTTTATTGTATCCTTCCTGTTGTTTTCTTGGGTTTAGTGTGTCCTTTTTAAACTTTTTAATATGTATGCTTAAATCATTGATTTTCAACCTTTAATCTATATATGTGTTTGAGGCTATCTATTTTTGAATCTCTCTTTGGGTTTTAGTGTTTTCATAAACTTCTCTTTGAGTCTCAGTGTTTGCATCTCTTGAGAGGAATAGACAGCATTTCTAATATCTCTTTTATTTCTATACTAGAGGCCCAGTGCACAAAATTTTGTGCACTCGGCGGGGGGGGGTCCCTCAGCCTGGCCTGTGCCCTCTCACAGTCTGGGACCCCTCAG